CCCCAACCCTTGGGGGAAGCTGAAGTCAAAGTTTAAGGGCTAATGATAAATATCATAAAGCCTGCCATTTGAAATAAATATAAATGTGTGTGTATTGGGAATATAAACCATCCCTGTACTGAAGGCATACATTGTTGTAGTATCCACAAATGAAATTTTGTCACATTCCAACCTTAGATATAATACTTTCAATGCACCTGCTGAAGAATAAGCCTGGATTTGCTTCAGACTAAGGAGTCTTGCAGGTGGTCACATTAACTTTTTAACGGGAGCCTCTATATCGATTGACTACGCTCCAATCTCTTCACTATTCTGATTGAATAGTTCATAGCCGTCTTCCAACATTGTTCTATGGACTTCGAACAAAGGCCCCCCCCCCTGCACATAAATAAATTTGGTTTCTTCCCCCCCCCCNTAAATTTGGTTTCTTCCCCCCCCCCCGCCCCGCCCCACCATCGCCCCATTCATCACTTCGCCTGCACTCAGGTAGCCTTTTCCAACTCCAATGCATTGGCGAAGGCGCCGTATACGCCAACCTGGAACTTTTGCTTTTTATAATTGAAAAGGCCATTTGGGACTGTTGTCGCGAAGGAAAACGTAAATTTCGAATGCGAATTAATGCGGCTTGGATATCTGGCAAACAACTGGCGACTTTGGAAAGGCAGCTTTCATGGTGTTTTTGTTTCTCCTAGTAGATTGTACAAGCTTCCTATAGCGATTGTTGGTAAGATAGATTACAGTGGATTCTGTGCATATCCCTTGCAAACTCGAATCCATTGTACTTTCTGTTAGAACAATTGACACTCCTCATTCAAGGGCATATTTTGTTTGAATAAGCCACAATAATAGCCGCTCTTTTAACAAATTAGCGAGGTTTGGTGAATCAAGCCCCAAGACTGAAGTAAAAATATTGATTTATTGGAAATTTGAAGGCAAGGCAGTCCCTGGAAAATCTAATCTATTATAATCAATAAAGGCTTCACTGGCCTAAACGAGATTAAAAAACACGTTAAATTAAATTGGGGATAAGTAGCGAAAACTAGGTGGTTATAGAACTTCTAAAAGCGTTGCATTTCGAATGAAAGGCAAATCCAATCTATGTCCTAATATTTTAAATTGAATGGAATTTTCACGTGCATTTTAAAAACATTTGGAGATTGCTAATGGCCTAATCTTGGGATAAAGGTCAGATAATTTCTATGTATTTGATCTCACCAATTTAATCTCGGTCGAGAAAATGGTAAGTTGAGATGAAAGACGAACTTGTGAACCTCTGGTGAGCTCGCATTGGAAAATAAATGTTGCGCTCTTTTGTGTGCCGACATTAAAATTACTTTGAAGTCAAAACACCATACTATCTGTGAATGAATCTGAACTCCTAACCTCATTTGGTATAATAAATTTTAAATTCGCATTTCTGGAAAAAACATCAGGCCATGTTATTATGAAATTGCCTTGAAGAGTTCAAACATCAAATTGCTCAGAAACTTGGTGTCAGGAAATGCTGCCAGGCATATCTTCAAAACGATATCTGCTGACTCGGTGTTAATACTAATTCATGACTAGTGACGAAATCCGGACAAGTGCAGGTAGTATAGGGGGTGCTAAGTTATATTATCTATGCATTTTCATCCTTATAGAAAAGTGGAGTTATTTTTCACAACTTTGGCAGATACTAAACAAATAAACCCTCCCCCCCCCCTTAGAAGTCAAACTGCCTGAAGACAAGAACCAGTAGCCACTTGTCCAGTCTCCCAGGGTAAATCATCCATATCATTGCCTGTTTTGCGTCCAAAGCCGCGAGGGGACAGGTGGCTTCGCGTGGGGAGAGTTGTACTTATCTTGGATTGAATGGAAGGCCTCAACGGGCACAGACGTGCCTGGCTGATGCCCGATCAGCAGTACGTGGACACTTTCAAGATTCCTTCGCACAATCTCAGTGGGGTTGTGCATACTTTAGAGTCCACCAATGTGTAATATGTCGATTATTGAAGTAAGTGCATTCTTTTGAAAACTTCTCGGATTAAAAACCACTTCATCGACAAATACACTCGAATTCTAAATTATTCTTCTGTAAATCCTATTACTGCAGACATTATTGAACAAGATAGTTTTGAACCTCATGATAACCTCCGAAAATGGCATTTATTCGAACTTGCTCGTACTCGGTGCTTTGTTTAGTATGGTAGTCACTCGAACTCCTTTTCATTATTCCATGCGCATTTGGTCGCCAAGAACTGCAAGTGCCTCTATCTGTAGCTTAACTCAATTACTGCTTTTGTAACCAATGGCAAGAAAGAATGAAAGATTTTGGACACAGGACTCACACACAATACATGGGGTTAATGACCTAGTACTCATGATGAGTCAGCACTGTGATGTAGGAATTACACTTCTAACTTCCTCTGGTGTGATCATACCTTTTGCTTATAACCACAACAACATTATGGGAAGCATCAGAATGCAGTAAATGAGAATGTTGTAGAAGATTGGGTGAAAACATGAGTTAGACGAGTGAGATTCAAATTTTTCACCTGCTTATACCGTTCATGATCAGATGTCAGGTAGGTTGAGGAATTTGAGAAATAAGTAGACTACTCTTTTGACCCAAAGAGGCTAATGAGTTTTTCATCAAAAGTTACCGAATTCCGGCAAATAAGGGTGCAAACAATATTCCACTGAAAAACGCAAATGCCGTTATTTTTTATTTCACGATTTATTTAATAAGCATTTGTAAATTTAACAACATAATTTAACCGGAATAGGCAAAAGAGAATCGAAGTTTCCCTAACGCCATTTAGCAATAATATAATTGCAGCCACGGGTCTTGAACTGCTCTGAGGCCATGTAGTCCTTCAGTTCTGGCAAATTCTAAAAAGAAAGACAAGCATTATCACAACATCGTGAAGCCTAAGTAAATAGCTTGAGATTTATATCACCTCAAAGTTGTTTAGATAGGTCTTCACTTTAGGAAAAGCATCCAAACATGATGGTTCAAATTTCTTCAACTGATTCAAAATTTCGCATAGATTGAAATCAGGATAGTTGATCTAGACAGAATATTTTGAGCAAGAATTAAAAAGATCAAGTTTCCTCACATTTTTGCCAGAGAGCCATTTCCTATCTTCCAGATACTTCTCATATTGACTCAATTTGTCTGGAAGATTTTTCATAAAATCGACTTTAAGATTTTCCTAAAAGTTGAATTAAATGATTGTTTCAGTAAATGTCGACAATTATGATTGGCATTTTAAAATTGATTTACAAAATCTGGACTATAGCACATTTTGATAAAAGATGATCGCAAATCCATGACATCGTTCATGAGCATGTGAAGGGTAGCACGTTGTTTCTTGCAGTTGGGGACTATAATTTAAGAAACATCGTCTTAGTAAGACGCACATTTGTCTTTTCATGATAAAATAGCAAGACCAACTCATATCGTGTGTATCAGCAATGTATTCGAGAATTGCCGAGGTTTGAGAAATACTGAAACCGTCATCAATGTAGTAAGGCAACTATCAAGAACTCAATTACTACTTAAATACGTCACATACATTTGGAAAGGACAGACCAAGATTAAATTTTTCGGCCATCCATTCTTCCCGATCATAAGCAGGTGCTTATTGAAAGTTGTTATTTGAATAAAATGATATTTACCAGGTCCTGGTTTGTAAAGCTTTTCCTGATATTCAACTTTAAGGTAACGCAGAAGTAGACGAATTTGTTCAGCTAACTATAAGCAAGCACACATTAACCACAATAAAATTTTAATTACGCCTCTGATGTCCCAGTATCCAAGAATAGGTGCCATTGCAATTAGCTAAACAGATCAAATCCAATTCAACAAAGTAGCAGCTAATATAGCTTCGAAAGGTAGCAAGCCAAACTTCAAGGTCGAACTCGCCTGAAGCCAACAAAAACAACAGATACAAATTTAAATCGCAATTTACAAATGTACTTTTGTATAATTGAATTTGAAAAGATTGAATTTTAAGTGAGGCATTTTAGGCCTTATTATGATAATTAACAAACTAACAAACAAAATAATGATAAATTATAATTATTGTGAAACTCAGAAATTCTTAAAGATTACCTCTTGATATTAATGATTTATAACGCCATTACATTTCAAATGAAGTACTAAAGTTGCTCATTCATTTAAATTCATTTTTCAAAAATCGTGTTGTGTTCAAAGCATATATTTATCTAGCCAAATTATATTTTCGAACAGAAGCAAGGTGGGATTTGAAGTTTATGTGTGTTCTTTTCTCAAAGTTATCTTAAAATGAAAAATCTTTTTTCAATTGTGGAATCAGGTTATCATAATCTTAGGCTGAAACCTTCTAGTTTGAAAGCATAAGCTGCATCATTGGGGTCTACCTTACTGTGAATGCCTGATCTTTGATAAAGTTAAGTGTAATTTTCAAAATTGCGACTTTTGCCAAAATAAACATTGATTAATCCTACAAGTTTATGTCATTAATCCGAAATAGTACCTAAAAATTTTGAATTAAGATATTGTTTATTCGATGGTTTTAGAATCGTTAAATTTGACACAGGAGATATCATGCGGAAAAGTAATATAAAACATTATTCATATTTGTGGAATCAATGTTACTTATCACTTCAGTCACTCAAGGTCAATTCGAAGGTTGTCACTCCAACACGTTGTTGAGCAAGTAATGTGTGTATACAAAACGCTAATTTTCAGAGTCTCAATATAATAAAGTTTCAACGCAGTCCCGCGTCATTTATTGAATTCGTAAACCGTTCATTGCAGCCATTATGGTCTTTATGATGAAACAGGCTTTCTCTGACATAAAACTTCGAGAGATTTGGAAGCTGGTTCTATGGACGAAAGTTTTTACATGCTGATATTTATGTATTTGGTAGTTATGATTAACTGTACCTCAATTGGATTAGAACTTTAAGCATCACAAAATAGTTAAACAAAATTTCAATCTAGTTTTATTTTGCTAATTCGGCATTGTAAAGTCGCAGAGAAGAACCAAACTCCATACCCCATTGAAGGAGGTATTTATATCCCTTGAATAAAATTCCTCCCAACACGACAATCATTTTGACGAAATGATCTATAAGCAGATAGAACTGAATTGCTTACATAATCGACTTAATTACTGTTACTTTGATTGGACTTGAAAAAGAAAGATCCAAAACTGTTCAAACAGCACGAAAAAATGCCGAATTGTTTTAAATTACTAAGAAATGGGTAACTAAATAAAGCATCAAAATGATTTCATTTCGTTGAATTTTAGGTTTAATATACAATCGATGCTATGTTAGTTAAGATGACATGGCGTCCACAATATCCGCTAATAGGGCCTTAACTGGTGATTTCTGGGCAAATTTTGACAGCAGTATTCAAGATTTACTGAACAGTTGATCAACTTGGTTTGTTGATAGTGACGTCACGGGAGCTCCGATAAAGTACCAGTAAGCATTATTCAATTAGGTGTTGATGAATTAGTCCGACAATCACTGAATGTCTAATAAAGGAAGAGACTAGCTTTGATTAGGCCTCAGCACGCACTACTATTTCATGTACCAAGTTAAGACGTGCATTGTACGGATTTACGAACTCTAATTTTATTACTTTTAATACACCACTAACTCTTCCCGTCTCCCTATTTTTCTAATTTTGAAAGTGTTGGTTCCTGTTAGCCTCTGCGATCAGTATATTAGTCGGATGATAAAATTAGCTTTTCCTTCTTGCAGACCCACTGACGTCTGCTAATTTAAGCCCATTAACACTTTAGCAGAAGTAGGGTGGCTGATTAAGTATGTTTATAATTAATGGGGTTGCTAAGAATTGAAATTGGATAGTTGAAATACATCAGCAATATGAAAAAGTATTTTTGTTTCTATATGTGTAATCCGAAGTAAAATTAATGCTATTGTAATTTGGCGACACAATATACTACGCCCGTATTTTCCCAATATTAAGTATTATCTGCAGTTATATATTATGGAAATAATGCAATTAAAACCAATTTCAATACTGCATAAATGAAAATATGATCTTATTTTAAAATCATCCCAAAATTACTTTGATGATATCACATACTTTTACTAGTATACGAATTCTACAACCAAAATAGGTCTACTTTATTAAGTGTGATGTTTTACTCTAATGATATACTAGAAGGCCAAAGTTTGATCAATTATTATCTCTGAGCAATAAGCATGATCCTTCGGAATTAAGAAATAGTTTATAACATAATTGATCGCAAAATGATTAAATAAGTATAAAGTTTTAACATAAAACGACCATGTTTTCTAAATTTCAAAAATAAATTTATTATTATTATTGTTTTTAATTTTTATTTTAATGACTAATTTAAAGAGCCCTTAGGAAGCTGTTTGTTATTTTATTAGGGCATAAAAAATTCGCATTCCTAAATTGAGAAACATAGGCTTCGTACAGTACATTCATGTATAAAATAACAAGAAGTCAGTGGACAATATATTTTCAGCACAAGCCTTCTGTCATAAGTCTGGCCATGTAATCAAAGCGAAAATTCTTCAAAATTGATTTGGAGGGTATAAATTATTCTTAACAATTTCATTTGAGCAAATGGCATATAAGACTAACTACATTAAATTAATTAAGTTTACAAGGCCATTCGCCGATTCACAATTACAATGGCTCCTACTTTAGGTTATTGGAACATTAGAGGAGTGAGCCCAAATTCATTTTTTAGTTAATTTAGATGCCTATCAACCTTGCATATTGTTATGAGTTATAAATGAATTTATTTACATAGCTCGCTGAACCAATCCGACTCTTATTACGTTATCATAGAGCTGACTTTCAAGAGAAGCTGTATCATTCTGGACCAGGTATTGATAATTTCTAAAATACTAATTTTAACTCCTAATTATTATAATAAAGAATGGCCTGATGAAAAATTCAAACTGGGTCTTGAATTTCCTAACGTAAGACACAATTTATTATCTTATTCATATACTCAACAGCTACCGTATTATATTGATGGTGATTTCAAGCTGACTCAATCCTCAGCTATTCTCGAGTACATTGCCGAGGTACACAATATGGGTGAGAACTGTCCCGAGTTTTGATTAAATCAACCCACCAAATAGTTCCAAGTTGTGTGAAACAACGTGCTGTACTTCATATGCTTTCCAATGCCATCTTTGATCTGATCATGAACTTTGGAAAATTGTGCTACAGTCCAGATTTCGTAAGTATAATCTACCATTTTAATCAGTTTCAACAAATAAAGTTGTACTTTTGACTGAAAAATAAATGTATAATTTCTTAATGTTTTACAGAATAATCTGAAAGGCCCATTCCTGAAAAGTCTTCCTGATAGTTTGAAGACCTTCGAAGAATATTTGGGTGACAAAACCTGGCTTACGGGTGAAAATGTGAGCACTTCAATCTTCTACATTTCGTACATTGACACAAGTTGTTGGTGTTAATTTCAAATTTTTGTCTTTAGATTAACTATCCCGATTTCAGCCTATGTGAACTTCTGAATCAATTAGAAAAGTTTGAGCCATCTTGTCTCAGTAAATTTCACAAATTGAAGGCCTATCTGACTCGTTTTGAGGTATTCTTTTAAAGTTAATTTTTTTAAGGCCTATTATTCCTTTATAACACCATGTGACACATTTATTTAGAATCTACCAGAACTGAAGGAGTATATGTCCTCAGAGGAGTTCAAAAAGCGAGATTGTATGTCAAGCTCTGCAACGTGGCGCAATAACAATTAAATTCAGGAAAATGCAAAATCTGATTTGTGTGTGTCAAGTGATTACTTGGTAATTGAATGCCAAATACATACTCTAACCGTTTGTTAATTGAAAATATCTTAATTTAAGTCGCTCTTTTTCTTTCGGAAGGGAAAACAAAAGTCGCATCTGTAGAATAGAGTAAGATAGAAAATATGAGGAAGATTTAATGGTATATCTTCAATCGGGTGTCAAAAATGTTAAAGAGGGGAATATCTTCTAAATGACCCTAAAATTTTGCAGGTGGTTTTAGATCATTTGGTTCTAGTTCGCAAGGTGTTTGGCGTTGGTATAATTTAACCCTATTCAGTTAAACTTAGATTGTCATCTTATTAAATTGGTAAAAATTGTGGTCCTATCATGGTTTACATTGCAAATGAAATGATGTGAGGGAGGGAGGGGGGAGTTTGAGAATCAATAAATCGATTTCTGAATTATTTGCTGAAGTGATTTATTTTGAGCATATCCCAACTGTGAAAGACCTCTTCGTGTGCGGGCGATTTGGAGTAGTAATTTGGTAGCCACAATAGTGGGGAACCATTCGAGAAATTCACCTAAGAATATTGATTGAGTAGTATTATAGCACTCCTTGATATTTCCACAGGCGAAATCCAGTGAGCAACCAGAGGAAAGAATTCTTCAGACATGATTCATGTATTGGGTCTATTTATGCACCTATTTGTAAGTAGATCAATACGCAAGTAATTTCTGAGCTTATTTATTAAAACCTGAAATTTAACTATTTACCTAAACGTCATTGAATATATGTGAATTGAAATCAACATGAAAAAGAATGACATTTTCTGAAGAGACAACAGGAAGTTCTTAAATTTTGTCTAAATTTATGAGATATTTCCAAACCATATCATCAGCAACTTCCTTGCTTTTTCAATGTGAACCAAATGCAATGTGCGCATACATAACAGACTGCTGCCGAATAATGAAATAATAACAATAAATAACACGCCTGCAATGATTTTAAGTGTGCCTACATTCCTTTGCGGCACCCTGAAGTAGTCCTACATTCACATTTTCTTTCTCACATGTCTGACTAACAATATTAGTATACAACTCTCCAATCATTCTAATGTAAGATAAGGATCAAGAGAGGTTGAATCTTAAAACTTATTTATTTATGCCAAATGGCAGACATCTTGATAGCTTTCATTAGCATTTTAATTGACTTCAGGCTTCACAGAGGAGGGAGGAACATCAAAGTGAAATAAAGTCAAGTGGGGGGGGGGGGGGAACAGAAGAGTGTTTAAAAGATGTAAAAGAGACAGACACAAAGGCAGAAAAGAGGTTAGATGAGTACTGTGAAAGTGTTGGAATATGATATACAGTGGGGTGATGGTAGTTTGAAGTGAGAAGTCAACTGCCAGTTAATAGACTTTTTTGCCGTATGAGTATACGTTGCCCAGGGTGCACCACGTGGAGGTAAGTCTACCGCACACCCCTGAATCTCAAAATGACTAGCCATTTTCAACCCTGCAAATAACAAATTTTGTGATCTGAGATAACACAAAATGCTGAACAGAATAAGATTATAAATCTGATCAGATTACAGAGGCCTTACAACATGTTTATGGGGATTCTGTGCCATGCAAGATGGGTGAGTTTCCATTGAACAAATTTCCACTCACTGAATATCTTGGCTTGATCAAGATCTCGTTGGGTACAGTGAATTCCAGAAACATTGATAGAACAATAACTGATCCAATGAGCTGAACTTTCTGCACCAACTTTGGAAAAGATGGTAGCAAATGAGGATAATTTTTAAGCGCTTTATTACTGGAAATGAAATTGGTAGCTACCCGTTCGATCCAGGAGACAGAGTTCAGTCAGAAGAGAACACCTGTGCCTGTCAAGTTCAAAGCTGAAGTGTCCGTTAAGAAAGTTTTTATTTCAAATGGCAGGCTTTATGATACTTATCATTAGCCCTTAATCTTTGACTTCAGCTTCCCCAAGAGTGGGGGGGGGGTACATTTATAGCAGTTAATAAATAGCAATTCATTAGCTGTCTTCTTGCTTCCGTTAAGAAAGTCGTAGTTACCACTTTTGGGATTCAAAAGGAGTGATATTGATAAACTTTCTAGAAGGACAGGAAATGGTCAACTCAAAGAAGGTGACGACTTCCCTCGCTATAAAACGGTCAAATTTTATTTCATCATGACGGTGGAAATTAAGTGCACAATTATGGCCATAAAATGTTGCGATATTTCAACTGACTGTTGACTTTTTTTAATGGTTTGCAATTTGATCGACTTCATAATTATAACTTGTGGGTTAAATTGAACCAAAATAATGAAGGAGTTTTATCCATTAAGTTAAGTTCGACATTAACCTGCATCGGCAGTATTGCAGTGAGCACAATTATGCCTTCCAAAATGTTTCCACCATTAGCGAAATTTCAATTTAATGTTGACTTGGTAATGATTCCCACTTTGCTCGACCTTGTGGGTTAAACGAAACCAAAATACTGAAGGGGTTTTATCCTGAAAGTGCTTCAGAATTTGCTGGATCTGTTGCTGCAGACATTGTGGAGTAGAATTATTCCCAAAAATGCAGAATTGAAAATGTAAGGTTGATTGACATAATGCTAAGCAAATATTTGCCTTAATTAGATTAGCTGTTCCATTGGGACACTGTAAACCATTTCTCTTTCATTTTAACTTTTCCTCTGAAAAGGTGCATTCTCTTCATCAGCTTGCAATTCTAAAACCATGGTGATAGTGTATAATCTGCATAATGCAAGTGTGATAACTTATTCTTATGTCCATTATAATCATTGGGAGCCACTGTGTGGGAAGATAGATCTACCTTTTTAAAAATAGAGGTATTAGAAGAGAGAGAGAGAGAATGTGTGTGTACTTTACAGTCATCAGATCAGCTGTCTCTACCGTTTCCATGATGAGTCTACTTCCATTTTGTTGACATCTTCAAGGTGGAAAGTTAAGCGGACGTGAGTTCGTGTGTTTTCGTTGTCATCACTTTCTACCAGTCAAGTGGGACAACCAGTCCTCTAGGGTTATTTTCCTCAGCACAACCCAGCGAGAAACCAGCGATGTTCAAGTAGCCACACCTCAGTGATGGTATTCGATGTGTCCGAAATCCGGTTTGGTGCTGAATGCTCCACCACAAGGCCCAAATGCAACGATTTATTGTATTCTGTTCAAACCATGTGGATAATCTCTGTTGGTGACCGAAATCAAGTTCGGTCGTAATGTTCACTTGCAATATTTGCCTTTTTCGTTTATCAGCGATAAAAGTAAATCGATTTGTATCGCTGATGTTTGTGGTAGGCAAATGGCCATCTGCTTTCCCTAATTTTTGGGCACATTTTAGACCCCACATGGAAAAAAAATTGGGAGGCTAAAGATAAGTTGACTCAAGGCAAGTTACAGCTTAGAACAATGGTTTGAAAGCAAGTCAACAGGGAAGAGAAACAGAGATGGAAATATCTAGTCAACTCTGGCGAATCCTGAATGCTGACTGTGAGGGCGATGTTTCCCCACATGCAAACATGAAGGTTGGGATGTTTATGCAAGTGGAGTGGTGAACCGTATTATTGAGTGGAGTGGATTTTGTATATTGAAGGAGTATTCAAGAAATCGACTATGGACTCCTTCATTTCATTTGATCTACCCCTCTCATTTCTTGCTGGCATTTGTGATTGGAAAACCAGATTATTGAATGGAGGATTCTCATCTTTCATTTAAACTGAAATAAAACATCTGTGAGGTTTATGAAAATTTTATGAAATGCTTCTCATTATGACCTTGAACAGCCTGTTGAGGGTGTGTTTTGGACTGTTTTAGTGTGCCAGTTGACAGGGTATGATAACCAAGTACTGACTTTAGTCATTGATTGGTCGAGAGATGTCTGAAATCGTGACATAATTAACTCACATCCACTTCACTGATTTTGTGTTCCTCACAAATGAAATCAACTCAGAATTTTCTAGTTTCATCTTGTGTACTTTTATTTACCTTTAATGAATATCAAAAATGAAGTCCAAGGCCAAGTGTCAACAATTATAAATTTTAAGATCTGAAACAATATTAGCATTCTTGCAATATAATTAATGAATACTCTCAAAATGAGGTATTCCATTAGTTCAAGTCCAAGTGACAGCAGCCATGACAATGAGAATTTGATTTTATTCAGATTAATAAAATCGAGGTTTGCGTAAAAAAGAGCTGACTCTGTCCAGTGGACTCAGTGAGTTGCAATCAGAGAACACAACGATTTGATGGAAAACCAGCCAATCAGATTGAAGGATTTGACCTTGAAAATGGGAGCATATTAAAGGGGACTAATTGGAAATCTTGACCCATTTGAAATCATGTCGATTACCTTGGGATACTGGAAGAGTAGAGGGGTTAGTTGAGACCGAATACTGGTTTTTGCAAGATAATTATTTGTGACAAGTGTGCCATTTTATTTTTCCTTTCCAAGCTTGGACAGCAAATTCGCCTCTTATTGACTTACTGTGGTGAGAAGTTTGACCAGGAGTTCTATATAGCTGGACCCGGTATGTGAACAGTGTGATTTTTATTCCAACTTACAAACTCTTCAGCTCCCGATTTCTCAAGAGAGCAGTGGCTCTCGAAGAAATTCAATCTTGGACTAGATTTTCCAAATGTAAGCTTGAATAGGACACTTTATTACCCCCATTCTCGTTGATAGCTTCCCTACTTGATAGTTGGTGATCTCAAACTAACTCATTCAACAGCAATTCTTGAATACATTGCTGACAGAAATAACATGCGTGAGTTCAAGAAGTCTGGAATTGTAGATTGAAGCAATGAGTTTAGCACACACACACACACACACACATCATCACTTGATGCATTGTTGTTGTTTTAAGTTCCAAAGTCTCCGGAGGAAAGAGCAACATTATTGATGGTAAATCTGGCGGTGATGGACATTCGTAACCGATTTTACGGTTTGACGTTTGGACCTGATTATGTAAGTTGGAGGTGAAATAATTTGCTGATCAATTGTGACCTGTTGCCTTCAGGAGAAAAACAAAGTTGAATACATGAAAAACTTGCCAACCGAAATTAAAAGTTTGTCCGATTACCTTGGAGATAAGAAGTTCTTTTCTGGAGAGAAGGTGAGCAGTGCTGCTATTCCATATTTGTAAAATATTTACTCAGAGAAAGCGAATTTCAATTAACAGTAAGTGAAGAGTTTGCCAGCAATTTCGTCCAACTCATTTTGTCAAATCTACTGAATTGCTCGTGTTTAAGTGCAATGCAAATCAAATTGTGCGTAAATAGAGTGAATGAAATGCCTTGAGAAAAGATTTCTTTGTTGTAGAAATCATTCTTTC